AAAAGAAAACCAAAACCCAAAGATCCTTTCTTCTTTTGATGCTAAGTGTCCTCTAGGCAAAAGTTGGCACTTGCAGATAAGCAAATAATTTTGTATTGTGATCTTCTCCCAAGAGATTTTCCCACTGAGCAGAGCAACTTCTTAGCAAAAGGCAGGCCTCCACTGCCCAGCATCAAGGAGCCCACTCAAGGACAGCCCTTCCTTTAAAACTTATGCTTTCTTACAGCAAGATATAGGGTTTCCCCAGAAGCAAGTTCTGGGACAGGGGCCTGAGAGGAAAGCAAAAGCCCACAGGAAGCGTACAGAAGGCAGGAGGGAGCGCCCATGCACACTGACACCGGACGCAGCGAGTCTGTTCTGGAAGCAGAGAAGAGACCCAGATCATTGAAGGAGCTTAGCAAAAAGGAACCCTCCAGAAAGAAGACCTTTTACAAAAAGTTCTGTCTTGAGCTATTGCCACTGCCAGGAGGTAATAGGGGAAAAAAGTAGTTGTTCTAAATTTTGTTCTCTTGTGCCAAAGCAAAGGTTTATGGATCCTTCCCAATCAGCATCACAGTCAGCAGAGTGTACCAAGAAGCAAGGCTGTGGAAGCTACGTGGTGAGGATTCCTGTCTCATCTTAATCAAAGGGAGAAGGAAAAACCACGGGCCGAGTAGCACTGCTACTAGAAGACGTTCCCTTTGATAATAGTAAATTCAAAACACATGGTGACATATTCTGGTCTCTAATTCCAGAAACTAGAGAAAATACTATGGCAACAAATGAATTTTCTCATTTTTGTCAAGTATACTGGCAGACAGTGACTGGTAGCAGGAGTGCTCATCAAGGCAGTCGGTGCTACAGACTGCATAATTCCCCTTCTCTCTTGGGAAAATCAGATTCGACAATTTATCAGAAACTTTCCCCAGAATTTGTATGATTCTTTTATCTAATATATTTTATGCTTCAATCAATTATCAGTCCCTTCACAATACTACTAAAATTGGAAGATATGAATTAGTTAAAGGTCAGGCCCTCAAAGTTTTTTCCTTTTAGCAAAAAACTATTTATACAGGAAAAGTGCTTATTCATTAAACAAATGAATTTATGGAATTTAGTCCTTACACACCATTTCTTCAGGACATAAGTATAACTGCTTTGAAAGCCACGCCACATGCACAGAAATATTAAAGTCAATGTCGCAAGGTCAGACTACGCAGTTAGTATTTGAGTGTATCAATAAGTGTTTTAATCTGGACTCAATCTGTGTTAACAGAAAATATTCACACAGTTAAGTGCCCTCTTACAGTCTCAGGATCTTCAGAAATGTATTTTCTTTGCTATCAGTAAAAAAATTAAAAGAAAAAAATTACACAACCAAGAAGAGATTCAACTAAAGCTTCCATATGTGTTAGGGTTTCAAGATACCTTTACATGATTAATTCCAAGTCAGTTTATCACACAGACTACACTAGCCTGAGGCTGATATAAATACTTAACTGGATCCTCTCCACAACAGAGACTATAATTCGGGTGAATTAGATGACGATATGAGACTTCTAATGAGACTCTGGAGTATTTTTAAATGGATGAAAACAACACAAAAAGTCAACTGAAGAAATGCAACTGTATATGGAATGAGTGAAGATGTCTATTAAATTAATAAACCATTACTGGACCCTATAAAACTAGGACTCAAAAAATATTTCCCTGTTCTTTGATGACTACAAAGACATTCATTTCCAAAGAAATCAGAGTTCTTGTTTCGAAGGACATTGAAATTAAAGCACAGTATGGGCAACCAACAGATTCTAAAATTGTAACAGTGGCAAAAATGTATCTTTTTGGGGGCTGGAGAGATGGCTCAGTGGTCTAAAGCACCTACTTAGAACAAGCTTAGCAAAGCATCAGGGACCGCGGTTCGATCCCCCAGCACCACATGCCAGCCAGCCCCGCCCCCTGGTGGGCTGAGCTGGCCACACACACCACACACACTCACTCTCTCTCTGTCTCTGTCTCTCTCTCTCAAATAAATAAATAAATAAAAATTTAAAAACAAATCAATTAAAAAAAATGTATCTTTTTAAGAACTTCATAGGCAAGTACAATTTCTACTAAAATATAGCCAAAATACATCACTAATTTTCAAAATTTGAAAAGTTAATTTACATTTATCATATATCTGGCAGTGGCTTAAGCATTAGTATTGCCTGTTGAGGTGGCTGATGCCTGTAATCCCAGCACTTGGGAGGCTGAGGCAGGACGATCACTTCAAGTTCAAGGACAGCCTGGGCTACATAATGCTATGAACTACACAGCAAGACCCTGTCTCAAAAAAACAAACAAAAGTATCAGAACCATTTCATTTAATTTTAGTGCTTCATTACAATCTACCATGGATGACTGTTAAGAGAAACCCAATGTTAAAAAAATATCTATTACATGCCTGTAACTCCAGTGTTCGGGAAGCTGAGGCAGGAGGATCACCATGAGTTTGAGGCCAGTCTGGGCTACATGGGAAGTTCAAGGCTACCCTGAACTACACTGTGAGACCTTGTCTTTAAAAAAAAAAAATTATGAATTTTAAATATGCCATGGAAGTAAAAAAAAGTTAAAATATAAATTGCTCTTTATTTTTGTTCTGATAAGTATTTTTTCAAGAAAATCAACTAATAGGAGCCGGGGAGATGGCTCAATAGAAATAAATGCTTCCCTGGCAGGTGCAAGGGCCTGAGTTCAATCCCCAGTTCCACCAAAAAAAAAAGAAGAAGAAAAGAAAATCAACTATCCTCTTGGGGTAGGAGTGCAGGTCAGTGATAAGAGTGTGTGTTGATTCCTTGCTTGTATGCATGCATATACACACAGAGATTTTCAGACATGCTAGCACATGCCTATAGTACTAGCACTCTGAGAGGCTAAGGTAGGAGGATCACAAGTGCAGGGCCATCCCAGGCATGTAGCAAGACCTTATCTCAAAAAATAGAGAAAGGGAAAGGAAAAAAAAAGAAAAATGTACTAGGGATGTAGCTCAGTGTGAATGCCCTGGACTCAATCTCCAGTACACCAAAGAAGGAAAAAAGACTATTAGAAAATATAATTTATTCCTTTAATGGGGTTAAAAAGATTTATTCTGCTCAACTGAAAAGCAAAGCTAAAATGAAGCAAAAACAAAAAACAAACTTTGTTATAGATTTATGAACAAATGCTCTTTTGTGGAGCATGGTTGGGCACACCCATAATCTCAGCCAGTTGGAAGGCCAAGGCAGGAGGACCTCAAGTTCAAGGCCAGTGTAGACAAGTTATAAAGATCTTGTCTTAAGTCAAGTATGGTGGTACACACCTGTAATCCCAGCACTTGAGAGGCTGAGGTAGCAGGATTGTTGCAACTTTAAGACCAGCCTGAGCTACAAAGTGAACTCAAGGCCAGCCTGAACTACACAGCACTCTGAGACCTTGTCTCAAAAAACTAAAAAGAAAGATCTTGTCTCAAAATTTAATTAACTCAGTGGTAGAGCGACTACCTCGAATACACAAGGCTTGGGTTCAATCCTAGTACCACAAAAACAAAGAAAATTCTTTTAAAATAAAAACCATTTCACATAATTGAAAGAATATGTGGTCTCACTTAGGACTTTTTTTTTTTTTTTTGTGCTACCAAGGATTGAACTCAGGACCTTGCACTTGCCAGGCAAGTGCTTATTCTACTGAGCTATTTCCCCAGGCCTTCACTTAGGACTTTTTTAAAAAGAGGACACTGCCATATTTATGACTTGATTAAATCCAATTCTGTCTTGAACTCTGAAGCACAAAAAGAGCAGTAAACATCTGCTGTGTAAAAGGTACAGAGACACCATAATCACAGGACCACAGATGCCAAACAGTCACAAGCCAGTGTGTCTAGAGCCCAAGGTGCCTATTGTCTCAGCGGACTATACTAGCCCAAAGATCAGGGATTGGTGGGCACACAACTGCACTCCCACACTTTTCCATACTGGTCCACACAAACACTCTAGGGAGCTAGAAAGGTTTACCTCAAGATCACCTTTGGTAATTGATTCTTCTTCGACCCGGAACTGAAGGTCCTCAACCTTCCTGTAGAATAAATCAACACAAAGAACATTAGAAGGTAATGAAGGAACTGTCTGCCTTACTGACCCCACAAAGTCTACAATCAATGTCCTGCCAAACTCAACAGATGGTGGTGAAAGGAAGGCTATGGAGAGACAGAAAATAAAGAAATCCATTTTCAGGACTCTAGTTTATAAAAGAGCTAAAGACTAATTATTTAGGAAATTCTAAGATTTACCCAGAAGGCATGAGATAAGCACTGAGAAAAATTAACTGCTTCCCTTGGTCACAGGCACCATAATGGATCTATCAAAATAAGACCAACCTATATAAAAATATTTCTATAGCATTGGGAGGCCCAAGTAGGAACAAGACCAGCCTGGCCTACATGGCAAGACCCTGACTCCAAAAAAAAAAATTTTTTTTTCTATTACCACAGAAATAGCCTTGAGATTCCAACTGCATAAATTCTTTTTTTTTTTTTTTTTTCCCCTTTTTTTTAATGTATTTAGTACAGGGTCTACAGGATCTCACTACATATTTATTTAGGATTTGTAGTGATCCTCCCATTCTCAGCCTCCCAAACACCATAAATTCTACTTTACAATACCAAACCTGGGGGAGTGTGGCACAGAAACCAAATTGCCTGTGTTACCCCCTATCAGGCACCTTGGGCTGGGGTCATCAGACTTCTCAGAGACCCCACTCAATACCTCCTGCTCCTTAACTCTTAGCAGCACCAGGGGCCAGGGAGATAGCTTAGTAGATTAAATGCTTGCCTGGCAAGCACAAGGGCCTGAGTTTAATCCCCGGTTGGGGGGTGGGGGAGGAGACACAGCACCAACACTTGCTCCAAGGTTGGGAAAATAGAGTTGTGAGTGATTTAGGGGCAAAGCAATCAAGAATCCTTTGATTCTAAAGTGTACACTTTCAGGTAATTAAAGTAAATGTGACATTGGGTGTGGTTTCATTCAACATCATATAGTCAATGAACTATGATACTTGGATTTACAATATCCACTTGACATCTGTACCATGCTGCTCCTTGTGCCAAAGATGGAATGGAGGACTGTATGCATGCTAAGCCAGCACTACCACTAAGCCACACTCCCTTGTCCCCACATTACTCATCTTCACAAAGGTGAGAAAAAGACAAAGAAAAGAGGGACAAAGTTCATAATCTATGTGTGAAACAAAACAGAGCCCTTCCAAGTAACATTTCTGGCAAAGTTAAGAAAAAAAAAAAAAATCAAGCCATCAGTTTAACTTAGTGACACAGTGCCTGCCTGGCAAGCATGAGGTCCTGAATTCACTTTCTCATAGAACTTATTTGTTCATGGCCTGGAATATAAGAACTAAACCTCCTATATAAGAACTAAATTTTTATGCCTCATATAACAACTTGTTTTTGTTTTTAGAAGGAGTCTCACTCTACAGTTCAGACTGAATTTGAAGTCACTATGTAGTTCAGTGTGGCCTTGAACTCATGGAGATCCTCCTGCCTTGGCATGCGCCATCATGCTTGGCCATACCATTTAACATTTGATTTCATATGTACCTGAAAAACTGTTTCACATGCAAGAGTTTTGTTTTCTTGTAAGGGTCTGGGATTCTCAAGGGCAAGGACCTTTTATCACCCACCAGACATAATACGATTTCATAAACACTATGCAACCTGGATCTAGAACAGCGATGGTGAAATTTTTAGAGCATTCAATGACACTAACAACACACTGCCACAGGCCTGCCACCACTGCTGTAGTTCCTGCTCAGCAAGAGACTCCAGGTGAAAGATGTTTGGAATCACCTCCATAATGCTAACTAAAGCTGCCAGTAGAAGGAAGATTAACATGCAGGTCATACACAAGGAAATATTTGCCAGATTTATCAGGTCTGGATCCCAAACATTTTGCAATGTGTCAAATCAAAGTGCCCACTACTCACATAGCGTGAAGAGTCTGATTTCTGCTGAAAATACAGTTATTCTTTTGGTTCTAAGGGTGGACACCAACACAATTGCTTTTTCTTTTTTGCTTGTTAGTTTCCTATGCTAGGGATTAAACCCAGGACCTTCTCACAAGCTGTGTCTCCAGCCTGCCACCCTTACCCCATACCACCAGTTAACATAAATTTCAGTCAGGGTCTTGTTAAATTGCCCAGATTGGGCTTAAGCTTTCAATCTTTCTGAATCAGCCTTCCAAAATACTGGGATTTCAGGCATATTCCACTATACCCAGATACTAACAAAGGTTTGGTTTTAGTTTTTTTGAGATAAGGTCCTATTGTACAATCTATGTTCCAAGCTAGTCTTAAACTCATAATGTGACCCAGGCTAGCTTGAACCTGTGGACTCGTGTCTCAGCCTCCTAGTGCTGGGATTATAGGCATGCACTACTATGCCCAACTACTAACGAAGTTTTTGACAAGAAATCTCTTTTAAAGATCACTTAAAAGGAAGGATTACGGGGCTGGTGAGATGGCTCAGTGGTCTAAAGCACCTACTTAGAGCAAGCTTAGCAAAGCACAGGGACCGCGGTTCAATCCCCCAGCACCACATCCAGCCAGCCCTGCCCCCTGGTGGGCTGAGCTGGCCACACACACACACACAAATAAATAAAATTTTTTAAAAAAGGAAGGATTACACACATACAGTGAAAGCACAGTTAGGGGTTACCTTTTCTCCTCTTCTAGTTGGTTCAGAAGCTCCACCTTCTCCCTGTCAGCTGCTTCCACCATTGTCCGTAGCTGGTCCATCTTGGCCTCCAATTCTAAGACATGCTGAGAAAGCAAAGATGCCAGTGAGAGGCCTATTTATGATCAGCTACAGGCCCAGACATGCCTCCAGTCACGGTATCTCCATAATGGATGCCCATTACCCTAAAATCTTGTCAAGTTTAAATGCTATCTTAATAGATTATTCTAGATACGTTTCCTGGAAACTAGATAAATAACAATGCCATTAAATCAAGAGGACAATAAACTCTCATCTTTTCCAAGCTGAAACACATGTCAGTAATAATCTACAGACACGAGCTGTGATCACTGCCTGCTCATGATCACCTAGTAAATAAGGTGGCTTAACAAAGACGGCCCCAAACATAAAGACCAAAAAGACTAAGGCAGAATCAACAAAAACAAAATTTCATCCTTATGATGATAGAAACTGGCACCCAGGTCACAGCTTTCAAACAAGCTCAGCAAAGAAACTGATACTCATTTCCAGTTCTCTCAAATTTAGCTTCCTGGCTTCAAGTAGCATGGACACCTTTCAGCCTCCTCAAATTAGAAATGATCATTATTCTCCACAACAAGGTCAGCACCAGACTTCACCTGGTCATGCCCGTCCCGAGCCAGGGCTAGCTCCTGCTCTATCTCCCCCACATGGCTGGTGGCCTTGGCCACCTCGGCCCGCTCCAGGTCCCGCTCAGCCAGCAGCTGTTCAATGTGCTGCTGCTTCTCCTTCAGTGCCTCCTGGAGGGCAGTGGTGCCCGAGATCTTGCGGGCGTAGCGGGAAGAGGTCTCAGTCAACTGCAAAGGAAAGTTAGAGAAGTGAAGGGCAATGGTGCTATAGGGACGGGGGAGTGACGCATGCATGGCAATGTCTCTGCAGTAAAGCAAGACAGTGCCCAGGCTCATAAGCTTGCTAAGTCCTAAGCAGGGTTTAGAGCAAGAAAACAAGGCAGCTCACACCTCTGTCTTTCTCCTCACAAAGAACACCTCAGTGAAACGCACTCATGAAACAATTGGAGCATTTTTAGCAACACAAAGTTCAAGTCACAGGTACTCTGAGCTGGGCAGAGAGGTCCTTGCAGGCATCTAGAAACATTCCTCAGAAGCTATTTAATAAGTCTAACTTGTATTTCAACCTGAGCTGAAATACGATTAATATTTAAGTTAATTAATAACTTAAATATGATTAAGTTATTTTCTTGACTGCCAGGCATAGTGGAATACACCAATAATCCCAACACTTGAGAGACTGAAACAAGAGGATCACCAGGAGCTCAAGGCCAGCTTGCACTACACAATGCCTCTCTGTTTGGTGAAAGAAAAAAAAAAAAAAAAA